GAAGAGGGACTGGTAGAGGGTGAGATCCAATGAAGAGAGAGAGAAAGGATATGGGGGAAGAAAAGAGAGGACTATGTGTACACTGCGCACGTCAGGAGGACACAAACCTGCATGTGTCCCCGTCATCCCCCTCACCTCGCTGGCCTTCTCTGCCCACACAATCCTCCTTCACTCCTCATACTTTTCCTTTTGCTCTTGTGCTCCTCACCTTATCCATCTCCTCTTCTCTCACGTCTTCCATCTCCCACTCCACAAACACGGCCCCTTGCTCTACGTTACCTCCAGGACTGCATCCGATTCTCACCAGCTGAGTCTGTTCTTGGACATTTTTGATATCACCTTCATTCTGACAGATTGACTAACCTCCCCACCCCACCTCCCTCCTCCACCAACCACGTGTTACATGTTGATCCATTCATATATATTACACAGAAATAATACTACAGTATTATTTGAAAGCACTTGGAAGAGTAATATCAGTAATGGTGATCTAGTATATCTGTGTCATTGGTATTCTTCCACCTCTGCTGAAACACGTTTCACTTGTTTGTCATAAAATTTACTCTTACAGATAACTGAACACATCTGTAACCTAGCGTTGTTTCACACTGATTTCATTCTCTGAACTCATTTAACCAGGGCTACAACCACTAACAAACCTTCGACTAAGTTATAAAGTATTTGTCCTCAACCGGCCAACAGCTTTTGCGTGTAAACTGTCCAAACGATTATGAGATGCCTGAAAACCACATTTGCGTACATAGGTCTACAAACAAGCTGAGCATAACACGCAGTGATGACATGGCATTCGAGTCATGAGTAGAATTTGAAACAGGTTTTTTGCCGGTGGGCATTTGAGTAACACAGGCATGAATGGCTGACGGCAGCAGTTTAGTGTTTAGGTCTGCACATACTTCATGTGGACTGGTTTTCAGGATTTCTGTGCACACTTTAAGTGAATTAGTAGTAGCAGTCAATGCTATGCTAGAATATAATTGTAGATTTTATTGTATAACCTTGTATAATGGGTAATAATTTATAGTGTATTTTGTAAAAAAAACAAAAAAACAAAAAAAACCTGTAATTTCCTGCCCAATATATTCAGTATATATATATATATACATACTGTATATATGTATAATTTATAGTCTGAGATAGCCCATCTCTCACATCGTCAGAGGAGGAGTTTATTAGCTAAGGATCCTCTTAATCCAAATAAAAGATTTTCAGTAGTCAGGAACTGCATGCAGGTGGACTCAGTGATGTCCATTGAATGCTAACGTCGCAATGCTGTACAGTAGGCCTACATGTTGAACTGCTGTTTTAAGGTTTTTGATATTTCAATTGCAAAACCATCACAATAAAATCCAAAAAATCACAAACCACCACTAACAAAATCACACATTGTCATGTTCATGAAACGAGTTTGAGACGACTTTTGCCTTGCGACATAGTGCATCATCATGCTGGAAGCAGTATTATCATTAGAAAACGGTAAACTGTGGCCATAAATCGATGAGCATGGTCAGCAACAATATTCAGATAGGCTGTGGCATTCAAACTATGATTGATTGGTATTAAGGTAGTCAAGGTGTGGCAAGAAAACATTCCCCACACTATTACACAACCACTACCACCAGCCTGGACTGCTGACACAAGGCAGGTTGGGACTATGGATTCCTGATGTGGTTTTCTGCTGTTGTAGCTCAAGGTTTGACCCGTTGTTCATCCTGAGAAGTTTTTCTGCTCACCACAGTTGTAAAGAGTGGTTATTTGAGTTACCGTAGACTTTCTGTCAGCTCCAACCACTCTGTCCATTCTCCTCTGACCTCTCTCATCGACAAGGTGTTTATGTCCAGGTAAACTCTAGAAGCTGCTGTGTGTGAAAATCCCAGGAGATCAGCAGTTTCAGAAAAACACAAACCAACACATCTGGCACCAACAATCATGCCATGGTCAAAGTCATTGAGATCACATTTTTTCTCCAATCTGATGTTAAATGTGAACATTAACTGAAGCTCCTGAACTGTATCTGGATAACTGCACGAATAAGCATATGTACAGGTAAATGTATTCCTAATAAAGTGCTCAGTGAGTGTACAAAACAGAGGAGACCTGGAAAATAGAAAAGCATAAGATCTATAAATTAACAACATCTTGTTGCTGTCTAATTGCCTCACGTTTGTTCATGAAAGTTGGACAAGAAGTGAAAGTTTCGATGACATGTTACATCACTGTAATAAATCTGTGGCACAGTCAGTGACTGTGAAACACCTAATCACCACCTTCTATAACAATCTGCCATTTCAAAAATAAATAGCAACAACAGGATGAGGAACAGAGAGAAGAGGGACGGGGAGAGGTGCTGTACTATAGATGCAAATGCCGCCCTTTGCATCTCAAATGATCAGCCATCAGTCTTCACGACTTGTAAATAAACACGCACAATAAATACACCCTACATCCCATGCCAACACACACTCACATCTTTAAATACCCCAGCTCTGACGGCAGAGATAGTACTGCTCATCAAATTTATGCGTGAGTGAGCCCAGGCTAAATTTGCAGCCACGGAGCCAACTTACGCAATCCTCCCTGGTCTCCCTCCTGTCTATACAATGGTTTAAAATCTCACATCGCAACCCTCCCCAGATCCCACCCCCACAGTATACACTACAACTCCGACACTATTCCTGTACCAGCCCCCGCCGCTGTGGCACAAAAATACCAGAACAAGAACAGACGCTGAGCCTGTCAGAGCATCCTCACGTCCCACAGGACAACTAAGGGGTGAGTGGGGTGGGGTAGGAGTGGGGGTGGGGGCAAAATGGGGGAGCAAAAAGAAGAGCAGGTGGAAGGACGAGCACAGCTGCTGTTGAGGGAAAAGAATCAACAGAGAGAGAAAAGAGAAAATAAAGACTGTGTATGAAGGAGGGGACAGTTTATATCCTGGTAGATAAGCCGCAAACTGTTTCTTTTTCCTTCGATCTGAGACTGTCTCAGCTGTTCTGGTTTATATTGAGCTCAATTTTAAATTTTTTTTTATTATTTTGAAAAGTTGCATTTTTCATGAATTTTTTTCTGAGTGGAAATTTCTTGACAGAAAAAAAACAAAGCAGTTTGATCGCAGTTAAGGTATCATTATTCCATCATAGGATAACTAAAGCTGAGACAAACAAATATTACCATTATCAATATGTCTGACAATTACTTTTCTTTAATAATCAATTGATTGTTTGACTCCACAGTTAACATATTGAAATTGTTTTTCTTAATTTTTCAAATATTCACAGTCGAGAAATTGGTACCAGTGAATTGTTTGTATTTATGTTTAAAAGATGACTTTAATGATATATCAATAATCCAAAAAGTTGCCGATTAATTTTCTATTGGTCAGCTAATCAATGAATCAACTAAACATTTCAGCTCTAGTTTGGTCTGGGGAAATATTAAAACTGCAGTGTGGAGTGAGGGTCAATAGATGCCCAACAATAAACTGCCCCATAGCCTTTAGTAAGTTGATCTGGCCATGTCGTCAGTGTCATCAGTGTCGGTTCTAGCTTGTATGGTGCCCTGGGGAAATACCCTCTTCAGCCAGCTCATATTGAGCTCTTATTTTATTTATTTATTAAGTTTCATTTTTTTTTTTATCAAATTGCTTCAATTTCTTCTGTGTGTAAATTTCTTGACACACAGATAAAAATGAAGCAGTTTGAACTGTAACTGTAAAACTGTAAAGCCCATCGTTAAGTTGTCTTTTTTGGTCTGACCAGCAGTCATAACTTCCACAAAGTTTACTCTTGAAGAAAACTGCAAATATTCATATCTGGGAGGCTGGCACCAGTGAATTTTGGCATGTTTGCTTACACAATTAATCAATTATCACAATTGTTGCCAATTAATTTTCTGTTGATTGAGTGCCTGATTAATCAACCAATCGTTTCTGGTTTAGATTGCTGGTTGGTTTCTGGGTTCCTGAGGAAATAATGATATTGCCATGCACAGTGGGGGTCAATAAGGGTTCAACAACAAATTGGCTCGGGGCCCCTCCGGAGGTTAATCCAGCCAGGCCTTTAGAGCTGAATTAACACACACAGGCTTCTGAGAAGAGCAGAGGTAAACAAGAGGAAGCCAAACATTGATAAAAATAAAACTAAAACAATAAAGCAGGTAGATGTGACACAGAGCGTTCATAAGACTCGCTCTCTATGGGTCCTTCCTGTCTCATTCTCCTCTCTCCATCACAATGTAGATGGACGGTTGCCGAGGGCAACCTGTGTGTACTCACCTAAGGATGAACAGGAAGTGGTGTGTGAGCAAAGGTGCTATTAATAGAAGCATGTGTAGAAAGGACATTTGCTTGCTCGCGATGTCTGTGTGTGTGTGCATGTGTGTGTGCATGTGTGTGCGTGTGTGTGTGTGAGAGCAACCAGCGTGTAACAGGGAGGAGGAGGCTGCAGATTGTGAGACTCAGACAGTTACTAGAGAGAACAGGAGGGGGGAAAGAGTGAGGGATGGATGGAGGGAGTGAGGGAACGTAGTGGAGGAGGGGGCGAGTGTGTGTTGACGCTGTACGTGGCGTCAGTGCGATAAGAATAGAGATGGTGCGTGTAGCGCTGCTGAGACATCACCCTCACACCCTCAGTGGGGCAGGCAGTACTAACTGAGTGTGTGTGTGTGTGTGTGTGTGTGTGTGTGTGTGTGTCAATGAGTGCATGTGAGTGCACAGATATTACCCAGGGTATGCTCATGTGTGTATGGATGAGTAAACTGTTGGGGCTGCAGTGATTCTTATTCAGTTGTGTAATTGCAGTTATGTGTACCATTTCATTCAAGTTTAATTTTTAGAAACACATTTTCTCGACCCAAACTAACTCTTAAATCATTTTAACAGTTCTAAAGAGTAACTTGAGAATATGATAACTACTTTGGGAAAACGGGTAATAATGTGGATTATACTTAGGTTTTCAAAACAGGTTTCTTTTTAATAGAGAAATGCTTTGAAAAGACAAAAGGAATAAAGACAAAAACTCAGATCTGTTATTACAGTTAAATGATGGTGCTGCATACTTTGCACGTAGATGGATTATGAGACAATGAGTCCCTGGGCAGAGACATGCAAAAGGCCTCTCACCCTTTCTAAATAAGAGCAAGTGCCACAGATTGAAAGGGACAAAACAGCTCCAAACAATGAGACTGTTTAATCGCCTTGTGTATCTCTGTAGTCATTTTGTGTCTCTTTCAGATCGTTTTATATCCCTTTGTGATTGTTTTGTGTCTCTTTCTGGCCAGTTGTTGTCATTTTGTTTTTTCTTTGGTAGTCATTTCTTTCTTTGTGGCCCGTACAGTAATCCATCCAGGACTCTGCATACTACATCGAGGTCATAGCCAGAAGGATGAAAATGGTGCGAGATGAAGCAAGATTAAAACAATGGCACAGCTTGTATTTTATTTACGTGTTGGAATCAACAGCAGGTGGTGGCTCAGCTGGGTCTGTGTGGAGATCGTCTTCACAAAGCGTCTTCACACCATCAGAAACTGAAGCAGCCACTACAGAGGGACCGCAGGTAGACAGGGAGCAAAGAAAGAATAAACGGAAAGTCTAAAACTTGTTCAGGTACATGTGATAATGAAAACATAACAGAGCATGTTTTGGCCAGATACTTACAGCATTGATCCCTCTGTCTTTTACGTCTTGACTGGTCTCTGATTCATACAGAGCTAAGGAGAAGAGGGAAGGAAAGTGTGAGTTTGTATACAGTGTTGAAAGAAATATTCAGATACTTTACTTAAGTAAAAGTACCAATACAACAGTGTAAAAATACTTCATTACAAGCAAGAGTCAGACTGCATTTAAAATTCGAATTAAGTAAAAGTACAGAAATAGTAAATATACAGATGTATCAGAAGTAAAAGTACTGTAATCCTGTGACTGATATATTATTATACCTGACATTATCAGATCGTTAATATTGATACATCAGTGTATAAGCAGCATTTTACTGTTGCAGCTGCTCAAGGTGGAGTGTATTTCAACTACTTAATATACAGTTTGTTGTGTGTGTTTGTGTGTTACCAAAAAGCGTGCGCAGCCTAGTGAAACACGACACAAAGCCGTGGAAGGGCATGTGAAGCTCTCCAGAAGCAAACCGCTCAGACAGCAGCTGAACTACCTTTCCATCGCACTGCATTCCTGGGAAACAGAGGAGTGAATGAAGGTGTGAAACCAAACAGCAGCAACCATCTGCGTGTGTATAGGTGTGTGTGTGTGTGTGTGTGTGTGTGTGTGTGTGTGTGTGCGCATACCAACAGCTTCCAGTGCTGTGCCGAGCTCAAAGGGGCTCATTGTCCCAGAGGAGTCCTTGTCAAACTGGAAGAAGATGGACTGACAGGGAAAGCAGCATTAGAATAAATAATAACAACACAACCCTCCTTCTTTTTCTGTCTTTAACACACACACACACACACACACACACACACACACACACACACACACACACACACACACACACACACACACACACACTGAGCTGTATACCTGCAGATTGCGCAGACTGGACAGCAGGGTTGCTGTTTGTTTATGGCTGAGACGGGAGTGCCCTTTGGTCTGCCGGCAGAGTTAAGGACATCTCAACAGGACAGAGGACAGAGAGATGAAGTTGTGAGGAAGAAGAGTGAAAGTGAACAGCAGGGCAGCGTGATGACTCAACCGGAGGACCGGGGCTCAAACTAGCAAAGGTGTGAGACTGGCTGAGCTCAGTCACGTTTTTTTAACAGAAGCAGTTGCAATGTCAACTCATGAAAAACACGTCATTTATCTAAGGTTGAGAAAACCAGACGTATATGCTGTCCAGTATTAGTCTGTGTCAAACAAGGACTGTACTGTACTGAAGACTGAAGAATATGCTGAGGACAAAAGGATACATCCTCTCCAAAGATGAGCTGTCTGCACGTCTCCAGGGGCAGATGGTAATCTTTGTCAAGAACTGTGAAGGGAGGAAAGACACAGATTGATGAATAGAAAGAGAGTAAGGGGTTAAACTACATTAAGCTGAGGAAAGGTGAGGGTGAGGACAAGTGTAGTCACTTTTATTACTTAACCAAACTCAATTTAGTTTATCTGACTGCAGCTGTGAGCCTCTGTCTAGACTGCTGACCTCTGCGGCTCCCTCTAACTTTCAAGCAAACATTACACTACTTTGATCCCATCTAGTGGCCATTACAAGTACTACAGAGTCAAGGATCACTGCCAGTGATCTGGCTGCCTTCACACCATGCCTGAAAGCTTGGTCACGGTCTCAGATGCAGCTAAAACATGCAGCAGGAAATGTGATATAGTGGATATTCTAACCCGAGTTGAACAGCGTCATGAGCTCCTTGGCGTTCAGCCTGTCATCCTGCCAGGAGACAGAAGAAATCAGTTTGGATTGTTTGACCAAAGGCCACAACTTTACACTTTTATTAAATGAGGTAGTGCAGTGAGTGAGGATTTCTTACAGGGCCAGCCTCCACATCAAAAGTCTTCTGAACTCTCCGTTGATCCTCTGGGGAGACGGGACTTGCCATAACCTGTTGGGCACAAACATGACAAACAAACGTAAACATACTATATATTTTCAGGTTGTCTATTATCGGTAGGTGTTTTAATGTATGTAGGCCAGACCACTAAACTCACTGGGAGGAAGCCAGAGGAACAGGTGAAGTCCTGAATCCTGCAGCAGAGAGATCACATCAGATTGTTAATGTTGATCTCTTCAGTTAAACCTTCATACAGTTTGAACCTTACACACTAAAAATAAATGAGTAAAATTAAAGAAATAATACAAACATAATGTTTGATATTGACACAGGTGGATCAATTGAAAATAGCTGTGGTGGAGGAAGGATTCAGATCCTTTAGGCTATAAAGTAAAAGTAGAAATACAATAATGTAAAAATTAATTTTTCTACTTGAGTAACAATACTAAAAGCAAAATATACTATCCACAGCACAAGTACTCATTATGCAGAATTACTTGGTTTAAGTGTTAAATTATGGAGCCCAGAAGGTCCTAAAAGATGACTGTTTTAAAATCTACTGTGCAGATCATATTTTGTGTAACGTGATAAAAGTTAATAACTTTTTTTGGACTTCAGAGTCTCTCCTGTCATTCTGTTGCAGGACAAATTACATCTTTATATAAAATCAAAGTAACTCGTAGCTGTTAAATAAATACATCTAGTAAGTAGTAAAAAGTACAAAAGTTCCCTCTGAAATGTGGAGGAGTACAAGTATAAAGTCCCGTAAACTGGAAATACTACATGTACTTTTTACTTTCTGCCACTGGAAAAACAAAGATAGTTCTTATGGTCAGAGTCAGAGTTCATACTACACTGGTCTCAGCTGAATAATTGACTGTTATTGCTGATAGAAGCCGTAAGAGTTTTATTAGCTTCTTGTTGTTCAGACCGATTGCAATTTTCTAAATTGTACAGCAGTATAATGTTGGGAACACGATCTCAGCCTGAGTGTACAAGTGGGTGTGGGTGACTATGACTGTGCTGATGAGCATGAGTGTGGCAGGAGGTGATTCAGGGATGCTCGGCCCTCAGCAATCGCAGCTACTAAGTCTTTTTTTTTTTTTTTTCAACAAAAATGACATTCAGTTTAACGATCTTCTCTTCGTCTTTCCAGCATCTCACCCCAGAGTGTTTTTAATCTTGGAGAAAATGCGGACAAAGAACTCTCCAGGCTGGTTGGGTCGATAGGTGGACGCCATGATGATGTAGTTACCCGGGTCCAGATGTAGTTTCCTCCACACACCCCTGTGGGACAAAGTTAATAAGTTATATTCATTTACTTTCAATGACCAACTAAAAAATATTAGGTTCATGCAATATTCTATATACATGTTTTATATATACTATATAACCAATACAATATGTTCAATATGCTCAATATTTTGTCTCCATTGTGTTATCTGTATGTTTTTTCTAATGTGCTTTTTGTGTGTATGTTTAAATTTTCCTTTTCCTTTTTTTTTGGATAATAAATTAAAATTTTATTTCTTTATATTTTCATTCTCTCACCAGATAGAGAAAATAACTCAACAACAGATTTAACATATTATAAATTATACGTTCACCTACTAAAGGACGTGGACGAGTCTATGTCTGTGAAGCAGTAAGCAGCAACAAGCTTTTGTATTTAGTTGGACAATTATTACTTTTTGGTTTTTGTGTGGAAATGAATTAGTTCATTTGAGGTTGAAACTTTGAGGAAGAAAACGCCATTAAACATGATTCAGTGTAGAGTTAGCACAGTGCTCTTCAGTCCCTAAAGGAACCAAGGGGAAGCACACATTTTCCTGTTTTTGCTGCTTTTTTTTTTCTATGTAGTTCTGCAGTATCCTTGTTTGTTGTTTTTGTGACGGAGTGACATTTACGTTAAGTCTGAGCGAGTCAGAGCACAGGTATTTCATTGTATTTTTAATACACATGACAATAAAGTTGATCTATCAGTCACTTGATGGCGGTCTTTACCTCTGAGCCTTATATTTCCCAGAACGACCCACAGGGCGATTTTTCATGAAGAAGTTGCGGTCCAGACACATACCCTGGAGCTGTGTGGAGAAAGATATTTTAATGGATGGAAAGTTTGGAAACACTTTATAAAACAGCTTGCCAGTTATTGCGTAATATCATTGTAACTGTAACTTTTAACTGATACTTAAATGTAGGGACAGTGGAAGAAAATAAGACTAAGTTAAGTTAAAGAAGAAGTTTATTTAAAGAATGTGTTCCTTGTTCTTATTGTGTAAGGAAAAAGGGAGAAGAGCCACACATCATATTACAGCCCATGTAGCTGATTCTTCTACTACTAGGTTCCTTATTAAACATTAAATATAAGCTATGTTTAAACCACCTTCATTATTAATATGTATAATGATGAATATTTGTATATATATATATATATATATATATATATAGGTGTATGTACAATAAAAACTTTCCTTGAAAAAAGGTGCGTTTGTTTTCTACTCCAGCGTACCTGCTGCTGGACAAACATGCCTGCTAGCAGCAAATATTCAAATGTACAGCATTTCTTGCCCTGTCTTTTTTCCAAATCATACAGTGAAGTCAAACACATGATAATAAATCCCTGTAGCGCAGCTGTAACTAGGCACCCGTCTGTTATATATTTTAATTTCAATAAAACTGCAAACTGCAACATACATTTTACATTACAGAGTAATGATAAGGTATAAGAAAAACACCATCTTCACCAAACCTTAGTTTAGTTTTGTCTCTCACTGTATCCCGTATACCCATTTACTTTTACCTTGTTTTCTTCCACTGTATCTACATTTAAGTACCAGTAGGAACCAGTCAGTATTTTATTATTACCATATTAATGCAACAAAATCACACTGTAAAGCGGGGGCTATAAGTGTTACATAACATTCCTTCTCTATGAAGCAGTTTTTGAGAACATAAAGGCATATCATTTTCAGGATGATAATAAAAATATTACAATAGATGCTCACCTCAGGAGGAACCTGCAAAAGAGAAGAAACACAAAAAAACATTAGAGTGTATCCAGAACTACAATAAAAGTGCTGAGAACCAAATCATTGTATAAATGAAGTCTCTTTCTCACCCTGTAGATGTGGAAAGCTATGTAGAGAAAGTTGACTTTATCCATCTGCCTGCGGTTTTTCTGCAGCAGCTCCACCAGCACAGTGCACTGTCTGGCTTTCTGCTTCTGTTTCTCTTCTCTCTTCTTCTCCTCTGGGGTCATCTCCACTTCATCCTCATCATCTTCATCATCCTCACTCTCGTCCTCGTCGTCCTCCTCGGCCTGGTCCTTCTCTCTGAGAATCAGCTGGAACTGAGGATTCTTCCAAAATGTTTCTGAGGGGAAAAAAACCCAGTAGGATCATGTAAATGATCCAGGTAGAGGTTGAATGCACATTTGTCCAAATATAAAGTCATTAACATACGTTTGTATCTGCGACTGCCACCGGCGGAGCTCCCCGGCACCCAGAATCCTTCATGTTCACTGATGGTCCAGGCAGATGAAGGCACAGGATCAGAAGGAGAGGCGGGTGTTTTTCCCTCATCCAGGGTGTCAGGACTCACACTGCAGAGCTCCACGATGTCAAACAGTCTGCTGAAGTCCTCAGCACTGATCCTAATAAGTGTTAATAATAAGTGTTTCTGTTTGTGAGAGCTTGTATGTTAGTGTAAATAAATGTGTTTCAGTATCTGCCACATACCAGAACTCTCCATCTTCTGTTTTTTTCAGATTAATCCGCTCTTTCTCTGCTTTGTCCACTTCATCCCACTCTTTACCCCTGCAGTCACAAAGAGAAAACTCAACGTCTGCAGAGGCCCCGTAATCTGTGAGCGTGCGTGCTCTCCTTTACAACATGCACAAACAGGAAGCTTCCTCACTTGTCACTCCACGGTCCGCGATATTCCACAAAGCCCCACGGGTTCCTCAGCCTCAGCAATAAAATCTCATCAGATGCTTTTGACACCTGAAAGGTAAAGAGACATTAAAGTAATGTGTGAGTTACAAAAGGAGAGGTTTTGCCGGTTCTCGGTATTATCTGAATATTATATTCATGGTGAGATGAGATGAGATGGGATGAGGGGAAATTACATAAAATTAGATTACATTTCCATGACATTATACTGGATTAAATTAGATGATACTGAGATGAGATTGAGATGAAGTTAGACAATATGTGGTAAAATGTGATGACATGAGATGTGATTAGATTAAATTAATACAATTCAGAGTTTTTTATTCTTATACATGTCAGAGATTAGATGCGATGAGGTGAAATGCTGTGACTGGAGATGACAGGAGATTCGATGACATTTCAGTCAAATTATATTGGATGAAATGAGGTGAGAAGATTAGAATGCAATGAGGTGAAATGAGATGAAATATGATAAGGTTGTATTAGACATGGATGAGATGAGAAACGAGTCATTTTATTACTAGTTTTATGACTAGTCACAAATCAAGAATTGTTAAAAAGCAAACACATCAGAGCAACACACTGATGATGACAGATCAATAAATAAACCATGACAGTGGGTCACTACACAGTCTGCAGTGTTGTCTCAGTGTGATACTGACCTTGTCAGTGTCAGTGATGGCATAAGCGTGGCCCTTTATCAGCCCCTCTCCTGTCACTTTACCTATGTCACGGTAGCTGCTGGCCTGTGACGACAAACACAGAAACTCTAGTGAATCTAAACCACCATCCACCTGTCCAGTGTGAACACCGTGTGGCGTGTATGTACCTGGATGAAGCAGCTGAGCAGGCTGCCTCTGGACAGGGCCGCTGTCAGAGACCTCCAGAGGACTCGAGGGGTACGAGATGAGACTTGCATCGAGTATGCGATGCCTCCTGTGAAATCCTCCATCCCCTCTGAAATGTTGCCCCCCTTCAGGCTTCCATAGGATCCGATTAACCTACATGTGAGAGGTGAAAAAGTTAGCTCAGGTGGCGGCGTGTTTTTGTCATATGACTGTAGCAACAAACACACACACACACACACACACACACACACACACACACACACACACACACAGATAAAGAGTGGGTGATCACAGACATTACAACCCAGAGACATATGCTGGTAGTGGCAACTGACTTGGCATAGGCCTTCTCCACCAGGGCGCTCCAAAACTCATTGCGGGTGTGAGAGTAGCTGAAGAGCAGACGGCCTTCGCGTACTGGCAGCCTGTCATCCACAACCACCTCCACCCACTCACCATACTGCCAGAACTACACAGGGAGAGAGAGACAGGAAGAGAGGAATGGTGAGAATAGAGGAGAGATGGATGTAATGAACGAGGAGGAAAGATAACGAGGAGGGAGGCAGAGCGCAAATACACAAACCACCTGAACATTACTTCACAAAAATTCCCCTTAAACCTTTAACTTTTTGGACTCTTGTGGGCAGCAGAACCAAACTGTAAACACTTTTACACTGTCATATCATCACCTTTTAAGTTTTTAAGTCATTAGTGATTAACACATTTTTTCGATTAATCCCTTTGTCTATTAAAAAAATACCCATTACAATTTCAAAGATCCAAGGATATAGAGTTTGTTATTATACATGACAAAGAAAAGAATCAAATCCTCACATTTGAGAAGCTGGGACTAGGACTAAACAATTCACTGATTATTAAAATAGTTGCAGATAATAATAATAATAATATAATAATAATAATTTTGTTGTCCATCAGATAATCATTTCAGTTCTAATGTACTGTACTTGTCTTATACTTGAACATGAACATATTCAGAGAATGGAGGCTATATCAGTCATCCAGATCTGAAAAATGAAACCTTGTGGTTTATAACAGGATGACTTAAATAAACACTCTGTTCTCTTGTCTGACTAAATGTATGAAACCACTCCCATGGCCGTTACTGGTCATGACAAGGGGTGTGTACTGTACTGCTAACTGTGTGTACAAAACAAGGGCCAAGAGCAGGCCTGCACTGGCCTCTCATAGCTGTGTGTGTGTCTGTGTGTGTGTGTGTGTGTGCATGCGTGTGCGTGCATGTGCGTGCGTGTGTGTGTGTCCCAGGGGTAGTCACTACCTGCATGTCTGGACTGCTCTCCCTTCTCCTGAAAGGGTAAAATGAGTTTCCAGTCCTTCCATGCTGCTTGTTAAGTCATGTCACATTCTCCCTAACAGTCTCCAAAGGTCCACAGCTCTGAGGCTAAATAATCGCTAAGCAAAAACTATAAAAACCACCTGACACATCGGTTTTGTTTTTCCAAGATTGATATGTCTAATAAGGTGATATTTTATTGATCTGAGCACGTCAGATCAGTGAACGATGAACTTTGAGATTATAATCACCAACTCTAATGAGGTGATAAAGATTAGGAATGCCTCTTCTTACATGCGAGACCACCAGGCAGTGATGAAACCGAGATGAGTTCATACCTGTTTGATCCAGCTGCCTTCATTAAATGATAGAGCTGTGGAATGATAGCTAAATAAGATGTCATGCTGAAATGTCTAAAGGAATAAATCAGATACAACATGAATTATTATTAACCCAGGGAGTGCACAGGGAGCTGGAAGGTGATGGTTTGTTCTGATTAAGGGATCAGTGTGCACCACTTCTTACCCACAGAACTCAATGTGATGTGCTGCTTGTCACTGAGTTTATTCTAAGTTTATTGTCCTGTTATTTGTAATATTGTTTTGTTGCATGTATTTAATTGTTGAAGTTTCTGTATTTAAAAGCCCCATCTAAGGATGTGCATTGCACACTAGCTCAGGCTATAAATGCTCTGGTATGTGGCATTGGTTCATGCTAATGTAAACATAACTACTGTACACATTACATTTTGGGGTTATTTAATTACATAAATTTACCATACTAATTTATGTGGATTATTAAGATGCACAATATCCTGTGGTGAGTATATATAGGACTCATTCTGAAATATTCATTTGGAACTTCAGCAGAATTAAGTTTATTATTATATAAAGTAGTTATGTGTCACATTTAAGTTGCTTATTTGTGTATCCTTACTAGGGAGCCATTTTAATTTCTACCGGCCTTTTGTTTTGCAGGGAACAGTTGTGAGGGTTAAAACTCTCAGACTGCACTACAGACTCAGTAGAATGGGGAGTCTATTGTGAAATAGAGTTGTCAAGTTGTCTGTAAACTAGATACTGACACAGGGACCATCTGTAGACAGGATCCTAAAGTAAGGTAACAAATAAAACAGGACCCACCTTAAAACAGGAAATGCTTTTAGGGTATTTTTGGCTCTGGAGGGAGCTGCACTAAGTCTGATAAATGTCCCCATCACTTGAGTCAGCGTTGGTTGGAGCTGAAGATTATAAGTTTGAAGTGAGCTTAGCCTGCTCCTCATCTCTGCTAAAATAGCTGCTAATAGCAAAACACACCTGAGCCTCCCAGTGATTACCCACATTACCCACAATGCAACTGTCAAGTTGCATTGTGGGTAACGTAGGCACGGAATAAAAAGATATCTCTGGTTCTGCTGCAGCTAATTGTAACTGTCCATCATGAGTTTGCTCATATTATTGAAGTCTAATGCCGGTGTAGTACTTTTTTAAGACTTATATATATTTCTGATATGTATTACCACAAATCAACTGCCACACTGTGAACCTTGGGCTTCAGCGGGTCATTTAGAATAATGTGAAATCTTAACATTCTTTTAATATGTCTATGTGTTTATTAAATGTATATTGCAGGCTCTGGTGGTTTTAAGGTCTTGTCGTATTAAAACTCAACCAACCAATAGATATTGTTGTTGCAGTAAATAGTTAAAACCTCAAAGCGACTGCTCAAGAATTACAGCTTATTTGCTTTCATAAAGAATATCAAGCAACGTGTCCAGACAAAGATGAGACTGAACGAGGGCATGTGTGGTACACTGAAGCCTAAATATGAGGAAGTCTGTTTCTTTGTCTTAGCCTACATCTAATCTATACTTACTGTAAAATGGAAGATCCCTGCATAAGACTTGGACAGGCTTTGGTTGGGTGGCACCACCTTCACAAAGAGCTTGGGGTGCATAGTCAGACAGGACAGGGCCGCCAGCAGCCAACAGTTACCTGATGAATAATAAACAAAAGAAGCACATGAAGCTGGGAGAGAGGAAAAACTCCTCAAGGATCAGTTATGTATTTCAGTGGGCCACAAGGCATTAGTCTCCCATGGGGTGTGATTCATGTTTTCGACAGACAGGTCACGCACACGCACACACACACACACACACACACACACACACACACACACACACACACACACACACACACACACACACACACAGAATAAGTCACATTCCTCTCCAACAGAAAACATCTGTTTCATGTTGTCCCTCTGGAAATGTTGCAGTAACTGTTGTTGGTATCTGCGTAAATCATGGAAAACACATTCTGGGATGCAGTTTGAAAGAAAAACATAAAACCCAGACATGGAGGAAGAAGAAGGAGAAGAAGAGGGAGGAGGAGGGGGAGGAGGTGGTATTGATCAGTACCGCTGACATATTTACACACAACTGGTGACATAACGCATTAATCCAGAAATCGAATAGGTTGCTGTTGTGCAGAAAATAGTCACAAATAGGAAATAGAGTGAACAACACATATTTCAGCAGGGCCTGGAGGCAGTTACAGACAGGGTTGGATGGGGTACGGACCCTCTGCAGATTTGGGGTTTGGGAACAATTGTCTCTCTTCCCCCCTCACTGTGCATTTCAGGTTGGGTCCCTGGGGCTGTGTAGTGCAGACATCTAGCGCTACATTTTATTGCAATGAAAAAAAAAAGAAAAAAAAAGAACACACTGAACTGTGTACGTGTGGAGTGTTTCAGCTTTTGGTTTTGTGGATTGAACTTTTCCAGGATGTTGTGCAATGCCAATTTAAGACGATTCAGCATGACATATCCTAGTCTCAACCCTCATTCTTTGGAGGGGGGATGAGCCCTGGGAGATTTTACTGTTGATGGAAGTTTTTCTGATGTACTCACCCAGCTGGCCCTGACATATATCCGTAGTCCCAGTCGTGCCCTCCACAAACACAGCGTTCTCACAGATTTCCTTCAGAAATGGAGCAAGAGGATGACAATGTGAGCACAGGATGCTGAAACACCACAAACTGGTTTTGTCATGAGCAAAAATACCACAAATTCTCTGGATTTATGGTTTTTCTTTGTTTTTAGTTTACTGTCTCTGTTATAATGTTTTTTGGTTTTGGACTGCTGGTCGGACAACAATTTGACTATGTTACCGTGGGCTCTGGAAAATGCGATGGGCATTTGTGTCTGTTCTACAGACCAAATGATCAAGAAAATAATTGGCACATGAATTTATAATAAAATTAATTAGTTATAATACTAGAATTAGTACATTTAGGATATGATGTGTGATAATGTGACTTTTAGGGCTGTTATTTTTTCATATTTTCAGTGTTGTTTGTGGTATTTCTTTAGTTATTTTGTTCCTCTCTTGAGTAAACTGCTCCAGGTATTAAGTTCCTCAGAACTGAGCCACACCTGGTTGAAACACTGTCAGCTAAAAAATCTGTGTTTCAAATGTGGGCAGTATTTCTCAAATATGCATTTTTTTTCTTTTTGGTTGCATTGGAAGCTATAGCCTACCATAACCAGATTTCGAATTATTATACAACTGAATTATTATGTGAATGAGAGAAGACCCATACCAACACCCAACATCTGTTTAACCTTACACACATGTACAACAGACAGTGGTTAAAAGCACGCACCTTGGGTCGCTGCCACTTAATCTCCTTTTTGGGATCCGGGTCATGTTGGGGCATCCCGATGGACTTCTGCTCAGCCGGAAAGGTTGGATCAGAAAACAGCACACCGGACTTCAGACACTCCTCCAGGAGAGTCTTGAAATCCTGCCCTCTGCACTTGATCGGGTTCTCGATGGAGCCCAAAGGTGCCACTTTGTCAGTCGCCATGCTGCCAGTGAAAGTAAGGAAAAACTCCTCATCAAATGTGTGAGCAGCCCTGGTTTAAATACAGTTAAAAGTGCACACCCACCACCTCCAGTGAGGCCCTCTTGCAGCGCCTCCCCAGCTCTGCCCTGCCCGGAAAGATATGCAGAGCGCCGGGGGCCACGGAGAGCTGGAGTCGGAGTAATGACAAGGTGCCAACGGCCTCTTTGATCCCTCTAAATTATCGTCCATCATCAGTCTTCCTGACGGACCAGAGAGAAGCAACAAGCTTCTATTAGAGCCACAAGAAACATATAATAATGGCCATATATCTGGACAACTGTGCAGGGACTGAAGTCAAAGTAGTCTGCCCGCCGCCACCACTGCAATTTTTTTTATTTTTTTTTATATATTTCTGATTTTGTGCTTTCTTTGGTTTTCTTCAGGAAATTCCCCAGAAATCTACCAGAAACTTCTAGACGCTTCAAATGGCGTCACCCAATATTACCGTTCAATCTAAGTCCCAGGAAACCCCCCCCTGATTTTACAAGTATGAAATGTGTTTAAGTTTATGTGTGCGTAGAGCTACAGCAGGTGGTCACTGCGTCTGTGTTTGGGAAGAGACGAGGAAAATCGCAAGCAACCAACACTTCAATTTATACATTAATTTATCGAGCATATTTACAGAGATATTTATCTAATACAGTCTAATACAACACTCGATCAGACGAGTTCTCTGTCAGTTCTGTCAAAACGCCACTAGGTGGCAGTCTACTCCACCTAAAGGCACCTCACCAGAAATCACCAAATCTACTGTACGCAGGCGGGTTTATCGTAAATTATGGTGCATTATTATGATAAATAAGTCTGTGAAGAGAGAAAGCCATCTTAAAAGCATCTTGAGTCAATTCCAGTTCTGTTCAACACAGAGTAGAGTGACTCACACTGTAAAATGTCCCTGCTTTATACAAGATGTAGACAACAAGCACATCACAGCAAATCACTTTAATTCTGAGGTAACCAAGTTACAATTACCATTAGGCTATAGGAAGTTCACTGCAGTTCTCAGTATAATTTGTCAGCTATAGAAGAGGCTTTACATATTTTGGTTGCCAGGTTACGGAAATGTTTTTCCTCCTCCAGCAGGACACTTGCTTTGTCTGTCTTTTTTAGCCCTTTATTTCGTCATTATACTGCTCCAGTGGAAAAGGACCAAAATGTCTGAACAACATTAAAAACAGACATGACGGCTTATTGTGGGAAAACCCCATTTATTAATAACATTTACAACTGGAGAACTGATAGCTTGTTGGATAGTAAGAGTTGTTAGACGCTGTCAGAGAAATTTTACAACCTGCCAACTCAAACGTTGTTTTTTATTTGCAGAATTCTGTTGTAATAGATAAGGATGTATGGTTACCGACATTAACCCTTATAAACAGTTCTTGGAAGGTGTGTTTTGTAGACTGGACTGAAATGAATTTATTAACAATTTATTAACAATTAAGGAATTGATTGATTGCTCTAAAAGCACATTTATTAATAACTCATTAATATTTATAACCGCTGTGTTGAAGGCTTATATTGTCTGTTAATTACTAACCAGTCATAGAAATTTGACAACCTGGAAACCCGAACATTGTTCTAATGAAAGGCTTATAATTTTGCAATAAAGCATGAGTAAACAATTTATTAATACTTATTAAAGTCATCAGTTATTATACAGGCATTAGAAAGGCTTCCTCATCAGAAAGTGACACCCTCAGTTTTTAATAGCTTCCATTAATAAGTATACTGGACGGTGTAGTTTCACCCACACTGACCAATCTTAACAGTTCTCTGAAGATGTGCTTTGGCAAACCACTTGTGAACCCTGGTCGGAACTCGGGACATCCAATTATACCCCCACCTCCCCACCCCCGCCCTCTTGTGTCGTGTCATTCATTAAGTTTAGGTGGATATCCATCTCCAATAAACTGTTGTCCTGCGGTGCTCACTCCAGACCTCTCCAGGCGTCTCCAGCCGTCCCTCCATTACACGCCTGATTACACTGAAAACGTGAGACTGACCGGGACTAAACAAACAAGAAGAATAGCGACACAGATCCGCCTAATGGTCACCATTTAACTCCATTCATAGGCTCTCCATTATGTCCGTATGGTCTTTGAGGACGGGATTATAAGAAGCCTCAGTGACAAAGGTCAGAGGGCCGAGCAGACACTCCCACACCTCCATGACCTGCTCTGATCCCACGACCCCGGCACCAGCAGACCCCCGGCCCCCCTCACTCTCCCCGCTGGTTAACCGGCTTTGTCCCGGCCCGTTTTCTGCTGCATCACTCACACACATCACCGGAGTGAAAGGGTTAAGATTTCTCACATAGAGCCTAAGAGCGGTTTATAAAATATGATAAATTGTTACAGATGAAACTACCAAACAGTAAGATTTATTACATTATTATCATTATATTAGTATTCCTACTGCTATTTAAATTTAAAAACTATTATGAAAACACTTAATAGTTTGGATGTGATATTTGGAAATTATCCTTGTAAAAATTGATCTGCAGTTGCATATACAGTATATTTAATTTGTGTGTCTTTAGATGGTACTGACTATGCGCAAAGCTCTCAGCTGCCTTGGTGTCTGAAGCCAAGTTTATGTATGTGCATTCTCTGTAAAAGTCCACTGAGACACCATATGTCCAAGCCTAATCTATGTAACAATTCTAGGACCAATCATACTAATGTGATGCTGCGTGCAAGTAAATTAAAAGACAAGTAAACTAGACTGTTAAAGAGTTATATAACCCAGGTGTCAGTGGATATTTGTTCCATGCAGAGGCTCTGGTTGAGGCGGTTAGAAGCTGCAATTCACCTTCCCTCAGGCCTGCAGGAAACAAACATGAAAGCTATTTCACCTGTCACAGGACTGAACTCCACCTTCTAACCTTACTATGCATGCTATCCAGACAGCACCTCTGACCTCTAAGTGAGCATTGTTTGTGTGTGTGTGTGTGTGTGTGTGTGTGTGTGTGTGTGTGTGTGTGTGTGTGCGTGCGCGTGCGTGTATGTGTTTGTGTGTGTTTGCGTGTGTGCGTGCGTGCGTGCGTGCGTGCGTGTGTGTGTGGAGGGAAGGGAGTGGACAGTGAGGGGTGTATGGTCAAATCCAGTTTTTCTGGCATTTTTGGATGGATGTTTCTGGGCTGGAAAAGAAACAAAACTGACTGACCTAAATATGAGTTTGTGTGTGTGTGTGTGTATGTGTGTGTGTGCGTGTGCATGTGTATAATTACCTGAGCAACTGAATAACTGTGAGTGTGTTTGTATCAGGTTCACAAGGAGGGTCACCAGGTGCAGCAAGAACAGAGAAGTGTGTGTGTGTGTGTGTGTGTGTGTGTGTGTGTGTGTTTATGAAAGACAAAGAGTAACAGACGTTTGAGGAACAGTTTGTCAGAGTGTTTGAGTGGGCAGGTGTTTGATTGCCTCATCTCTTCCACCTTCTTCACATAGTGATTTGTTTGCATTTCAGTTCACCCTTAAAGCTCTCCACATGAATAGTACACTGTAAGTCTAAAGATATTTTCTAGTAACAACAAAGAGAAACATTTTGCCAATAATAAGCTCAAGATTTTTTTCAGAAGCCTTATGCAATGAATGAATGAATGAATGAATGAATGCACAAGCATCTCAGTTCACTAAACACCTGATCTCAATGTTCCAGTATGTGTTGATGTGGCGTCAAACAGCTCCAGCTTAAATGTCAAAATGTGCAAGAAAAGAGCAAGAAAAAATGTTTCATCATGAAAGAGCAAGAGCTGAGAATGGAGTCATGACTAAGTCTGAATCATCACAGGCTTGTTATATTACATCATATCGTATTTTATTACACTGTATCATATCATCATATCAATCATATCAATCATATATCATATCATATCATCTTGTGTTGTATTAAATCACGTATCATATCATATCTAATGAATGCTATATTACCATATCATACTGTTACATATTTTTACCTAGGCTACTGTATCACACTGTATCATATGGTATTGTTATACATTGTATTGTATTGTATCATGTTGTGTTGTAAAATATTGTATTGTATTACATTGTGTACCATATAGTATTGTATCCTATCGCAACATATTGTATCATATTGTATTGTAATGTAAAAAATCATATTACATTGTATCATATTGCATCATATATCATATTGTATCCTAATGTGTTGTATCTAATGTATTGTTCCGCTTCACATCGTGTCATATGATATCCACTTCCAGGTGAAAAATTGAACTGCAGTTTTGTGGATTTTTATGTTCACTTGCAGAATTACAGCTACCCATATTGTATATATTGACATTTTACATGTACAAGTACATGAGTGTTGACAATGTGTACTGTATATATTCCACTACTGGTGCTTGCATATAATATTTTATCTAAACTAAAAGGTTGAACTAGTCTCTGATTTGGAAAAAAGTATTGTGGATATTGTAGACAAGCAGGTAGAGGCATTGATTTTTGTGTGGTTGGTTTCACTCAACTGATAACAGCAGTGCAGCTGTATAATGTACGTATGTCATGTTATTACCATTAAAAAAAAATCAGAGCAGTTAATATCATATTGACACATTTCCTGATTCTATTTGGCATAATCAAAGTTGAAAACACCAATTAGATGCATCTCTTACCATTTTCACCTGACAATTGTTTTGTTCACATACATATTTTGACACTGTCTGTGTGTTTTCCTATCATAGTGGTTATAATTCACAACAAAGTTATTTATTTGGTCAAAATCTTGCAGTATTTGCAGATTTCAGACAGTAATATGACATCATACTGTAAAAATTAATTGTAGAAGCAGTCTACATCTGTACGTGTTGTCATTGGGTATTTGTGCACGTTTTTCTGTGTCAGCCACACCCTGCTTCTGCAATCTTTGAAAAAACAACCTTAGCAGATCTCTGGGATGAAAGTGAGCCAGTTGACTTTCACTCAGGGAAGATCTTTTTTAGGTTAGTTTTGAAATTTATTTTCACCATCATTATCTGGCAACAATTTCTGCCTGTTTGATGTAACACTGTCCTGCTGTGAAAAAAGAGAAATCAGTGAACTTCCTCCTCTTTTGTTTTTAAATCAACCTGCCTCCATTTTCACCAGTGTTACCTGGTACTCAGACCAAATTGAACTGACACTCCTCCCTCAGAGCTCGTCCTCAGTGATCAGTGACATTATATAACCCCCTATAAGAATGAACCCTCCTTGCCTTTCCCTCCTCTCATTATCTGAAGGTGTTGAATGGCAAAAAGAGAGGCACTCGATTGACGGATGGTTGCCCGGGACCGTGTAGCCTCTCACCCCTTCCTCCCACACTCTCACTGTTAGAGGTTAGGAGGGTGAGGGGAGGGGGGGAGAGGTGCAGCGGGTGTAATTCCAGGGTTCAAGTTTCACTGTGCGGTCGTTGCGGGAGGAGGGATGGGTGAGAGAAGGTGGGGATTGTGGGAACTGTGCGAGGATAAAGAGCAGAGAGGGAATCCTGCGGTTTGTCTGATCGCTCCCGAATGCATCTTTCTTTTTCTTGTTATCTCTGTCTCAGTCGGCCCTGCTGATGATTTAATCCACCACCTCAACTATTCAGAGGAGGACGAGGACAACAGGACAGGGACTGCAGAGATGATTGGAGGCTTCACACAGTATAACATGAGAAATGTAATTAAATACTCCCAGTTAATTGGCTTTCTACATGATAAAGCACAATCTTCTCATACATAAGTGAGAGCCTCTCATGGCCACAGGCCTGCCCTGTAGGAAAGCAAACACACAGCTGATAAATTCCCTTTGTTGTGAGCATTTTCAGAGCTAATCATCTTAAGTTTAATCTGAATTTGTGATTGTGCTGCTACTGCCAGAAAGCTGCACTTCATGTCTATAAAGTCCACGAGGCCGAGCTGTCAGATGGCTCTGTCTGCACTTCAGTTTTAGGTTTGAAACGGATGCAGGTGAATGGTACTGCTGGATCTTTTGATAGCTTTTAACACTCTATTATGATTGTTGCTGGAGTGCCTCTCCTTTTACCTCTCTAATTGGAGATTCTCAATTGTTGTTGATAACTGCACATCCTCAGTGTAAACTACAGTTTGTGGTGTTCCCCAAGGTTCTGTCCTGGGTCCCTCTCTGTTTGCCTTGCATATGTTTTCCCTGTGGCAGATAGTTATTTATTTTAAAGGTACCCTCTTATGCAGGTGATCACTTACTCATCTTCATGTTACAATTTCATTGGTTGTTAAACACCCTTCTTTTCACAGTTTATCATCTCTGATGTGCAGTTTTCTAAGTTTAATGATTGTTGAAATGTTTGTTTTTTGTTTTGTTTTTTCCATTATGAAAGACAACAAACTTCTCTCTTTATATAAATAAAAGTTGAAGGAATTAATTGTGACTGGTTGGGGCACATTTTATGAACACACAGTATATTGGATGAAGAAAATATTTCTGTCTCAGAAACAGAGTATTAATTTTGTAAGGATTATATGTTTGTGGTCTGATATTGTTGCTGGCTGTAGCTACCATTGAGGACAATGAGGTCATTACCTCAATGTGAATTTGGGGGTTTTCGTAACCTTTCGGGAGTTTACATTTTTGTCTTTCTTTGCATACTCTGTGGATATTTCTTTTCAGATTCAGTATTTAGCCACTAAAAGTGAGGAGATTTGTCATCATTTGGGGAAACAAAAATTATGGACAGTATATTTAATAAGTTAACTGAAAATAAACATAAATGCCAAAAATCTAACATCAGTATTTCTAACATCCTGGCTACAGCCCTGGGGATGTGGACAAGCAGACAAGTGCATTCAGTGTTCTCTCATTTAACTCACAAACAGTCCAGTAAGAAACATGAACAGTATCACTTAACAGTAATAAAGCCAAAAGCTCAACAAATAAACTGTGTCACAGTGTTACAATAACCAAAATCCCAGATGCTTTCTCCTTACATCAATATACCTTTTTGTTATAAAAGGTAAAGAGTGTTTAGCAAAAGTTGTCCAAGTGTTTGTAGTATATTAAATCTCCTGTGACAGTGTTGGTTGTGTGTGTGTGTGTGTGTGTGTGTGTGTGTTTTTGCTCGGCGACTTCTCCCAACTCTCCCACCAACAAAAGCTTTCTCTGTGGAGCTGAGACACAACTATTAGATCTCAAAGTCCACATCACTACCGCAAAGGGGCACACCACTGGTCAGAAAAACACACACGCTCAAACACACACAACGTTGGCCTCACCCTCCTACTAACAGACACCATGAACCCTTCATGTTGTGATTGGCTGATTTGGGTGCTGACACCGGCCTGTGAAGGGTTTGTGACCAGCTCAGAGAGGTGTGGACTGCAGGAAGACAAAGGGCACTCGGGGACAAGGAAAAGATATCCACTTGCTGCAGGGGCTACTGTGCAGTGTTCTGCTGTGTATCACCTTACCTTACATAATTGGGTCCATACGAGCACCAAATGGCGCTGGCTGTGGCGCCCAACAGACAAGCAGGGCAGGGTTTACCAGAGGGAGAGACGGAGGATGTTACCTGTCACCTGTACTGTCCTCCCACCTTGTTTTTTTCTGTCTCTGTGGAGAGAAACGGACAAATTGACTCATCTGGGTGCAAGGGGCTTCTGTCTTCACTTCCTCCTTTTTCTCTATAACACAATGGTAATTGGTAGGAGTGGGCGTGTGTGCATCTGGTGCAATAAACCAAGCCTCCACCATCCAACCCCACTCCTCCTCTTCATCTACCCAGCCCCCACCCTGTTGAAAGCTCATTAAAAGACCTGCTGTTAATGAGCTAGAGGGATCATAGAACTTCATCTTCATTAGGGGGTGGGGTGGGGTGGGGGGGGTGGGGGTTAAGGCCAGAGATGCTGGTGCTGAGGTTTTTATGCCCTTAAAATGGAGTCAGCAATTATCCCAACCCCTTGACACTCCCCACCCACCTTACTCTGCCTCCTAACATGCCCACAAACAATAACCAAACTGCTGCCCCCCCATCAATTTTGTATCCTGAGAAATCCTTGTCATCTGTGTCCCATCACAGCTCACTGCACCCATCCCACAACCTGCTGGATGACTGACACCAACTAAAATATATCTGCATACACACACACACACACACACATATACTGGAATTACATTACCATGTTTCTAGACAAAGCCAGTAACATCCCAAGGATGTAAACAAGGAGTGAGGGTCCCTAATCCAAACACTCAAATTAAAAATTAATAACTCAGCGCTGACTGTGGTCCTCAGAGGAACGACCCACACTGACTGAGACAACATCCTGGTGAGAAAAGACACTTAAAAATAGTTTCAAAAGCTTTGTTGTGGGTCCCAGAATAAGAAAGAAAAAAAAGCAAACACTAGCAGAAAAAGACCCGAGTGGGAGGCAAAAAAAAACAAAAAAAAAAAACACTCCACAATGCAAAATATTTCACCTCAATTCTTTAATGAGGCTCCTCATGACATGGTACAAAATGGTGTCAAGTTTACAAAGACAGCAGAGTGGTATAGCTTCACAACAGCCAGTGTTCAGCGTAAAGGAAACGATGCTAGGAAAAGTGGAGGGCGTGTAACAGTGACAGGCAGATAATATTATCAATAATAACAATAATAAGTATAGCAACAGCAAGTGTGTCAATCTATGTACAAAATATTATCCCTGAACAGTTACACTGCACGCGTTCGTAATCATTCATCACACCACTCACATAAGAATTTGTTTTCCCTGACATGAATGCAAGTAGAAATCAGACACGGCAACACAAAGCCATCACAGTAGTTTTGAAAAAGTTGGTAAGACTCTACTTGAAGACTCTGTCCTGTTATATTTGTAAATGAACAGATCTCCTCAGGCTGAACTTGTGTTTAAATCCTCATCACTGACACACAATGACCCGTCAGAAGCTCGACACGGCGATAACGACCAGCCGAGTCATGCTTTGGACACAAGATCACAGGACAGAGGGTTCAAGTAGAGGGTTTTTTTTTTGTCTTATGTACACACAAAAACATTCACACAACTCACTCACCCAAGTGCTCGCACAAAACTCCACCAATCAACTCTCTACTACTGCACCTTTCAACCCTGTAGTTCAGCAGTGAAACAGACTTTTTCAGTTACACAATCACCAACATGCAGCATTCATAAATTAGGAATAACTCAAACACAGGCAACAACAAAAACAAAAACAAAAAAAGAGGCTGCAAAACATGCACAAGCTTCAAGCAGTCCGGCACTTTACAGATGTAAACAACGAAAGAGAGGAATTACCGTCACAATACTAAATACACTTAGAGAAAAATAATACACACCCGTTTCACATGTAGGTAAAATTGCAGGTTTTTTTATGCATAGAAACTAACCATCGGAAAAAAAACATCAGTAGATGAGACTTTAAAGTCTCCTTGTTCACATTTATAAAATTAGAAAACAAATAAGTGAAAATCATCCGTACATACTGTCACAAAGAGCACAACCTTGCTAGGCCCCGAGAGCCCTGTAAACATTATGTTAAATGACAAGTGTTGTGACAACCAAGCGCCTTTAAAAAGAAGAGTCTGAGAAACTGCAGGCAGACAGTGTTTGGATTCATTTCACCCCTGCGTCTGTTCAACACATCTTTAGTCTTTAAAAGGTCTTCTCAAAAGAAAACAGCTAGGTAGCACAGTATCACCTCTCTCCATCTGCTGATGCTGGAAAATATATTAACATTGTTCTATTGCTAGGCTTTTTTTATTCAATATAATCCGTTCTCTGTATTATCTGACAGTTAATATCCGTCTCCACCTGTCCAGTGGGTCACCAGAGAGATAAATCACTCGTCTTTTGCATCCTGCACTGCAACATGGTGATCAGTTTCCTGTGTCGGTGTGGACTGTGGCAGTGCACTTCCTGTTCAAGAGCTCTGGTAATCTCCCTGTTGAATGTCATGGCCTTGTTTTGCTCTGTGGTCTAAAGAGCTGTAGGCACCTAGTTTCAGCCAACAGCTTTGCATACAATTGTGAACAACTGTTCTGTGGGCCTCAGTGCTTCCTGCTGATTTTCTACAGCTCTGTAGCTTCTTCTTCTTCTTCTTCTCTAGATTCCAGTTTAACTTGACTGTCAGTTCAAGGATGGGGTGAGTTCTTTTTATTTGAAGGGCAACTTGAATCGTATACAGTGCTATTTGAATGTCAATTGGTGGGTGAGAGCGGCTCTCATGGTGCAGAAGTCAAAGCTGGGCTCACTTCTGCACTGCTCTCCGGTGGGAGGTCGCCCACTATGGCTGGACTCCCTCTGCTCTCCACATACTCTGCGTGGCTCTGGCTCTCCTCCACCTCCATGCTTTTCACCACATTACTCTCCATTTTGCTCTCCATTTCCATCTGATCCAAACTGGCTTCATACTCCTCCATTTTCACCACCACTGCTTCTTCTTCAGCTTTTCTAGCAGCTAAAGTGTCTGCGGCGCTGGCCTGTGCGTACGCTCCTACGCTGGCGTGGCTCAGGCCGTGAACTTTCTTCAGGTGTTTCTCCAGAGTGGCGTAGACGGTGAAGGGCACCGTGCACAGCTGACACAAAAAGGAAGCCTTAGCTCCCTGTGCACCGTGGGTCTTCATATGGCGCGTTAACTTTGAACTCTGAGCGCAGGCGTAGTTGCAGAGGCCACAGCGGTAGGGCCGCTCACCTGTGTGGCTGCGGCGGTGCACGGTCAGGTTGCTGCTATTTCTGAACTGTTTACCACAGTACTCGCAGGCCTCGTCTTTCTTCTTTTTCCCAGCTGAACCAGCAGTAGCGTTGTTACTGTTTCCTCCACTGCTGACACCTCCTGCTACACTCCTCCGCTCGTTCTCCCTCTGCCACTCCTGCACAGCCTCGCTCACTTTGACTGAGCTCCACTCTTTCTCCCTCTCAATGATCTCTCCTCTCTCGTTCTCCCACTCTCCAACTCCTCGCACTCTCTCGCCCATCTCCGGACGTTTGGGTGTGCAGTTGCCACTAGCGATGCCGCTCTCGCCGCTGCCCCCTGTCTCTCCGCTCTCCAGTGAGCCTTCAGATGGGCTGGCGCAAGGTGAGGTGTGCTGGGGCTCCCCCTGCCCCTCTGCCTCCTCCTCCCCTCCTTCTCCCCCCTCTCTCTGGCGCTGGTACAGCCTCAACAACTCCCTGTCTGGCGGTCTAACCTGTGATGTCAGCAGCATCAGGCCTGCAGCTATGGAGGGGTGTTTGGGGAGGGTCAGTTCCAGCTCGGAGGGACCCTGAGCCCTCACGTCTGCACCAACCATTCCCTTTCCCATGTTTCCAACTGCCTGCATTTGAAACCTCCCTCTCATCCTCTGCCTCCCTACATCCTCCTCCATCACAGCCATCTCCACCGGCTCATATCCACTTCCTCCACCTCCAGCCTCCCTGTGATGACTCCTTATGTGACGGGCCAGCTGGCCGCTCTGGGCAAAGGCCTGCCCGCAAACTCCACAGTGATAGGGCCTCTCGCAAGCATGAGTCCGGCGGTGGGCGGACAGGGCGCGCAGGGAGTGAAAGTTCTGGTCACACAGCTCACAGTGGTAGTCAGCCTGGAGGGTGCCAGTCTGAGGAAAGGGAGAAGCTGCAGGTGGAGAGGAGGATGGAGACAGCACCAGGCCGCCGGCGGAGCTGCTGGTGGTGTTGTTATTCCCCTCGGCGAGCTCCCTGAGACGCACTGAGAAGTTCATAGCCTGTGTGTTACTGGAGGAGGAGGTGGAGGCAGTGTGTGTCTGACGGGAGTGACTGAGGCGCAGGACGGAGGGTTGAAAGGCCGAGGCAAGAGCCTGGCTCAGGTGGCGTGGGTCCAGAGTGGCTGCCACGGGTTTGTGCTCTTTAAGACCTCCTCCTCTCATGTCTGCATCATCCTCCACGTCCTCTTGGTAGATGCTGAAGGAGTGTGTGTGCTGAGCGTGCTGTAAGAGCACCCATGCAGATGCAAACACGCCTTCACACTGCTGGCAGGTGAAATAAGACGGCTCCTCTGGCACTGGAAGACAAAGACAGACTGAAGTTAGCGATTTTGATCAATAGATGTTTGTAAAGAATATAGTAGACGGTATAAAAATGTCATGCTCTTTTGAAGTCAAGCCAGTAAAATCATGGAGATTAAACCAACAGTAACTGATCTTTTGGCCACTCATGGGCAGGGGAAAAGGCCTGAACACAAAATATGCACTTCCTTTTTCAACATTCAGCAGATGCAAAGTGACACTAATATTTATTCGATGTTGCGTTTGTGTCACCAGATGATCAGATGATGGTCCAATATCCACCCTCCCTTTAGATCAGTTTTTGGTTTCCACCAGCTGCTAAAGGCTCCACTATGTTCAGCCTCCAGGCACATCCGAAAACAATGCAAAGAGAGGTGAGAGTAAAGTTGCAGGTTGAAAATGAAAACAATGAGTTTAAAGCTCCGCAGAGCTGAGGGGAAGTGAAGAATCGAAGGATAACTAACGGCGGTTTCATCACGAGTAACCTTTTTCACATACAAGGAGTCATGTGATCCCTTGTTAGTGGAAAAAAATACTGATTATTGCAGCTTTTAAGTGATAAAAGACGAACAGGAACACGAGCATCAGCATTATAGAAAGCCAAATCTTAAAAAGGAGAGTAGCACAGACGGAGTGATATGTATGTAGGATGAAGAAAAGGGCCAGGTGAGGTACAAGACTCAGTATGGAAAGAAGAAAACGGGTGAAAAGTGAAAGGAAAACCGATGGCTGGACCTAAAGCAGAACAGAAGCAGAAAGGCCGACAGAGAGGCAAGCCATGTCGCAAAGTACATCTGGAGATATTTTTATATGTGGATAGCTTTGTCTCCTTACCGAGCCACTCTCCAATTAAGCTGCAAATTGCTAATTAGCAGAACGTAGAAAACGAACGCTTTATGCAAATCAGGCACTGACTCAGCCTGCTTGACAAATGAGGCCGTTCTGCATAAATCAAAATTGGAGAGAAGATCCCCAAATTGAGGGGGAAAACAGTTCTATTTTTTTTTTTTTCTTTTTTGGAGAGGTTCAAAGCCGACTCTGGTATAAGCCTCTTTCATGTTTCCTCAAGTCAAATCCTTCTGTATTTTACTGGAGGGGGGAGGAGAGTCAAGATGAAAAAGACAGCAACTGTTTCTTTCTCTTTTTCCCTTCTCCCGCCCTCCCTCTGTCTGGAGCTGTGGTGTTCATGTCCTTTAACCTAGCCTGAGGAGAAGCCCAGGAGAAGTTGAGATACTTCTTTTAAAAAATGAGGGTGAATAGTGAGAGCAGAGGAAAAAAAAAAAAAGATAGATAGATAGGAAGGTCAGGGCTCGGGAGATAAAAAGAAAATGAGATAAAAAGATTATAATGTAGTGCGGGGGGCCAAGAGACACCACGAAAATATGTCACCCCTTTGGATTGTACTTGAGACCCATCCTCCAACCCCGGCTCTCCTCACCCCTCTGCCCCCCCCCTGCCCCAAAACCCTCCAAATCTTTCCCTGAGGTGTGGGGAGGTGTGTGTGTGTGTGTGAGGTGGGGGGGGGCTTTTGTCTCGGGGTCCTGGAGTGAAACACAATACCCAGCCAGTTTCTCTTTCCTTGCCTCTCTCTCCTCGCTTTTTTTTTTTTTTTTTTTGTAAGGATTCCCATTTGGCCCGGGGTAGCACTTGAATATTAAGCAGAAGCAATAACTACTAATTAAAAATGCAGATTGGCTGGGAGCACTAACGAGCAGCAGGCAGAATCTCTTTTCCCTTGGGAGGCAGGGGGAGGAGAAAAGCAGAGGGGGGGGGGGTATTGAAAGAGGGCAAAGCGAAAGTGTGTTGAAGATGGGTGGAAGAAATGAAGGAGGAGGGGGCACAGGGGGGGGGTTGGAGATGAGGGAAAAAAAACAAACAAGGAGAATAAATAAAAAGGAATGAGACAGATGCACGCGGCTCTTCAGTAATCCATCCCACTCTACCCCCTTTTCACCGCTTCTCTCTTGAATACAGAAAATGGATGGAGGAGTTATCTGTTGTGGGATAACTGCTCTTTCACTTCCAGTCATCTCAGAAGATTCAGATGCGCAGTTTCCCTCCCACTAAACAGCTCGCCACTCAAGCAAAACAAGACTTCCTACCACTCACGAGGCTGCAGGTTGGTCCAATCAAAAACTGCTCTTTGCAACTTTAACATGCAACAACTCAAACTTTACATCACAACTCGTAAAAATCGGAGGAGCTAAGAACATTGAAAGCTGGGTAAAAAAAAAATCACAATTTTTATGCAACCTAAATTCTCTAATAAAACTTTAATCCAAACTTATCCACTTTTGCATTATTCACAAGTCATGCTCTTTCCCTTTTGCCTCGTGCACGTGCTAGGTTTGTTGTATAATCCTGCAGACAGCAAATTATCAAACTCATGTGTTTCCCCGACTGTAAATGAGAGACAGAGCAAGAGATAAAAAAAACAAAAAAACAGACCGAAATAGAAAAACAAGAGAGGTTGTGGACAAACGGAAATGGTGCACGCACCCGTCCCCTGAGCGTTACACAAAGGAAGGAACTGCTAACGTGTGTGTACATGACAGAGCGTTTCAAAATGTGCAAAAGGGCATTGATACCTACTATAAGTGTGTTGCAAGATGCACTGTCCATTTGCAATCATTTACAATACCCCACATTGACTTCACAGACACAGAGTGACCTTCAAATACATCTGACCTTTGCAGGGAAACACAATAACTCTCAAACACTTCATTAGCCACTGGACATGAAATTTTTGAGAAGGGTTTTAATGAGAAGTCATGAATTGCTGATTGAGTTTTGATGGGCTCGACCCCCACAGTGACATATTATATTTGGCCTGAACATCATGGTGTCCACAGTCATATTTTCTTGAAATAAGATATTTTCTTAAAAGAAAGAGCAGTGGAAAAGGAGTGGAAAAAAAGAAAATCTCTGCTGAGGTATGATACAATTTTATGCACAACAAGAGAGGGATGCCTTAAGAGACAGAAAATATGAAAACAAGGGCGAGAGGAGAGAGAGGATGATGCACACGATGAAGAGAAAACAGGAGGAAGGAGGAGATTCCCAGGAGCTCAGGTGGCTCGGCCCGGGGCAGAACAGTGGGAGATGGCAGAGGACCTGCACATGATGCAACGTCCTCCATTACTGTGTCATGACAGTGAGGAGAGCTGCGCGAACACATCATCCTCATCCTCCTCCTCCTCCTCCTCCTCCGTCCTCTGACCATTTCATATCGCAGAGCATGACTTCAACCCACAAACCCCTTTTCAAAACACACTAGGTGGACTTCTAAACGCTGACACATGCTGCTGTGCTGGTTCTGAGAGGACGTGGCATCAGTCTCTGTTGTCCAGGGCGCAGTGGATGACGGGGAGGGAGAAACATGTTTACCTGGCCATTCCACCTCAGAGACTGACAGTCAGGGACATGGGAAGGAGCTCTGGAGCTCAGGTGCTCGGTGTGGGGCCCTCGGGGGACCCTCAGTGCACTCTGAACGCTCCTGACGCCTATCCTTTCCACACAATTAGCCTGTGCGTCACTAACTCACGCAGGTCTGCTAATGGCAACGGCTAGCTAATGAGCTGGACTCGGGAGGGAGAGGGAACAGTTGTTAAATGAAGAGGGGGCGGTTGAAATAAAAAAAAAAAAATAAAAGAAAACAAAAAACAGAGTCACTAATTAGCAACCTGCCCTCTTTTTCTGCCTCTCTTTCCAAGCACTCACCTGCTTTGCTGGACTCCGCCTTCAAATTCACATTGGGCTCCTCCCCCCAGACCCTGTCTCTGGCCGCCCCTCTCCTCAGCTCGATGAAGCCAGGTCCCAGCTCGGCGTTTGCAACGTGCTGTTGTGCTCGGTTGGCAGGTGAGGGGGGTGTGGTGCTGGCGTTTGGGGCTTGGCTTCGAGAGCGGCAGCCGCCCTGTTTGTGCTGGATGAAGGCCAGGATGTGGGCGAGGGGGAAGGCCTGGCTGCACTGTCCGCAGGTCAGCAGGTCACGACCCTCATCAGGAGCTCGGACCTGCGGAGGCGGAGGAGGAGGAAGAGGGTCGTCTGATGAGCCGGTGCCGTCCGCCATTTCATTGGCATCTGGAAAAACATGACAGGTAGGGGAGGGGAAGAAGTTCAGTTACCAACACAGATGACTTTTTTTTTTTTTTTTTTTTTAACTTTGAACATTTAAAATAAAACAGAGGACCGGGATGGGGCCATCAGTTCACAGACAGATACACAAGTGCAGTTCATTACACAGGAATTTAGGCACAAATGCCCCTTAATATTGGAAAAGAAATATAGAAGGATGTTTTAAATAAAGCTGCAACAAAATTTATCATTTAAGTAACTTTTCAAGCAAATTTGGCCAAAAAGCATTAGTTAGTTAGTTTTCTCAGTCTCCTGTGACAGTAAAATGAATATCTTTGGGTTCTGGACTGTTGGTCACACAAAACAAGATATCTAAGGATGTCTCCTTGGAGTCTGACAGGCATTTTTCAAACTTTTCTGACATTATATGGACCAAACATGCTGCTCTAGTTTATAAAAAAAAAGAGGGTCTCAAGCAGTGTCTGTTTCATGAGAGTAAAAATCCCTTTTCATTTTCTTCTACTTCTCAAGGAGGTGAGTATCACGTTTACACAAACCTTTAGCTATGTGTCCAAAATAGAAAGAGAGGATCAAAACATCAACATGACGAAAGAGTATCCTTTACATTAAACACCATTATCTCCCAGACAAGGCCCGAATGTATGGACAATGTGTATTAATGAATTATGCTGATCTGCACTTCCTCTATAGCAAGAGTCCTAGTTCATTTGGATTTGTGCTGAGGACCATTTTTGACCATTCTCCTACAAATTAACAACCCAAAGCTAAACATAAAGTGTCAGTCAGACCTCAGTGGAACAACAAACAGGCGTGGTGATTAAAAGTGCTAGTTTCAGTTGTAAACTCTAAAGCAACGATGCCAATCTGCTCAGCCAACACTGACCACTTCCTTTAACCGACCCAAAAACAGATCCACTCGCTCTGACTGAGGCTGCTGGCTTCAGAGAGAGAGAGCTGTCCGTCTCAGCTGAGCACCCCCAACCTGCAGTTATTGTGACAATCACTGTGTCAGATTATTCTAATAAAAGTATAAGATTATGAGTAAGGCTTTCACCTTTCACTCACAATAATATGTTGCCCTGCCAGCCACAGGCAGTGGGAGCGGGTTTCTCAACAGGAAGTAGATTGCAATAAAAGAGAGAAAAAAAAAAAAGTTACTGAAGGTGTTTGAGATAAGAGCAGCCTCTGTGTTTTTTTTTCTGCTCACAGACAGCTCATCTGATTCAAAATTAACAACCTGACATATCTTTTGTGGTTCGCAGGTTGAGATGCATGCAGTCTGCATACTAGGGGCAAGCTAGGGGCAAGCACTGAGGAGTGTTGTTGAAGCAGAGGACAACACTCAATCCAAACCTCTTCAAGAGCCTGTGTGAACTCTGGATATGTCTTAAGAAAGTCTCCCAGCTCAGGCCAGGTAAGGCTCTTTGGGGAGAAGGAGGAGGAGGAGGAGGGGTCAGTAGACTATTGCTCAACACGGACATGGGCACACCTTGATGCCTGGACTGGATCCACCTGCCCGGGGTAGGACGGCTAGCACACAGGACAGGTACAGACAGTACAGTTTGAAGTCGGATCTCGCCAGTTGTTACTCAAAAATGTCACCTTTCCTGTTTCAGGGCTGTGCTGTTTGTGCAGACTTGCAAGGCGCGGTCACACACACACACACACACACACACACACACACACACACACACACACACACACACACACACACACACACAGATAGAGACAGGGTTGAGTCAGGGCCTGTGGTCACACCAGACACGCACCACTGGTCTCCAGTAGAGAACTGTAAAAAACAAATGTTGTGTGGTTGCGAGAGTGTGTGTGTGTGTGTGTGTTTTTTTTTTAAAGTTTCTCTCTTATTTCCTTATCAAGCATCACGTTTCACACCGCCGTCTTTGTGTTTGAACAGTCTGAACAGGATCAAATGGGATCTACTTTCATTTGAGAGTTTTACTGAAGTGGCCAAATAATAAAAAGTCTGTCACGGTGTAAAGGATGGGTTCAGTGTCTTGGCTTTAAACACATGATGTGTCCCAAAAAAAGAGGAAGAAAAATACCCCAGAAAACTGAGCCAGACACCGACCGAGAAATTTGATCATCGTTACACCTGGAAATATTAATCATCGTGTTCGGACCTGTAGCCTCTGAAAACAGCGTGCCAGTAAACCGGTCCTTCCCCTATGAACACGACTGCAGCCACAGTGCACATCAGGACAAACACAAGAAAATGACAAGCTCTTTTCTAAATATTTGCCAACAAAGAAATGGAATAAAACACATCCATACTGGCCTGAGCGAGGTCAACGTGAACACACAAATACTTTGAAACCTTACGAGAAAAACATCATCATCCGTCATCTACTCAATATAACTGTTAATCTGTGATAATCGCTCAACAGTGCGCATCCAAACCATGCGCGCAAACTGGCGATAAAACAAAACCATTTTCATTTTAGTTTCACCTAAAAAAACAACAAAACAAAAAACATCACATCCGTCTCCGACAGTGTCAACGTGCCCACAGATCGCTGCTCTTCCCCCGGCTTACCTTGAAACGCACTCAGGTGCTGTGGTCTGCTTCCAAGTTTGCGCCTGGACATCGCGTCGAGCGTCCCGCGTTTGGCACCTTTCTGGGTCTCAAACAGCAAAACGTCCCGAACCCAAATCCGCCCGGCTGCTTCTTCTCTGATAAGTTGGCCGAAACCTGAGCGGCGGGGACAGACTGATAAGACTGGCTGGCCTCTGCCTGGACTCGCACTGAACGGTGAAGGCAGCGTTCAAGTTCACACTTCTTCCCCCGCAGCGAGCGGAGGGCAAAAGGGGGCATGGGCGACTGTAGGCACCGCCCGCTCCGCTCCGCCGACCCTGACCCCGCCCTCTTCGTGTAACACGCGCTGTGTCACTTTTTTTCTCTTTCACACTCTTACTGGTTTCTACCAAGATTGAACTGTCTGTTTCAATCACATCCGATAGTGGAAATCAGCATCTAGTTCCTCCTCAGCAGCTCCGAGGAACTACCGCTGGTTTTCCACAGGTGTCTACGAAACCAAACCGGAACCAGAGGAGCACTCATTTCTCCTTTTCTTGTCGACCAGCTGTGACTGCTACACATACATTAAAAATACATCAAAAACTCACAAAAAAAGCCACAAAACTCAGCAGAAAGACCCAGTAACGACAAGATGTGGTGAGGCATCTTCAGCTGCAAAATCTGAGCTTTGTCGCCACCTGCAGTCCCCCGTGAGAAGTTGTTCAATATTGTGTCTCAGTCGGTATGTTTACGGTGCGTAACTGTAAGGAGGCCCAGATAGAAAAGAAAAACGAAGATGAGCAAATAATTTCAAAGACAGTTTTATTTATGATTCTGTATTTAACATTCCACTTTACTGAGAACAAAAAAAGTTATTCGCTGTTGTTAACCAGTTGGCAGAGGGCAGAGTATAAAAAGAGCAGTTGATTGTTATAATAAATGCACGAACTTTTACTTCAACTTTTCATAAAGAAAATTCAAATGGATGTGTATAAATATCCTGTACATCAGTTCATGAGACTTTAAAATGGTCCTTAGTGTAATTTTCTTGTTACTGTAAAAGTAAAATGTGGGAGGACATCATGACATGAGGAAGATGATGTAAGTTTAGGTATTGCTCAGTATCATACAGAAGAAATACAAATGTGTGCAGATGGGTCTACAGCCAGAAGAAGTGTTTGGTAGAAAAAAAAAAAAAAAAAAAGGAGCATGCAGAGGTGAAGAAACTCATTTAATAAGACAACCTTTACAAGATGAAGCAAAACTGAAAAGGGCAGATCAAACTCAGCTCTGTTGTGTAATTAGTGAAACTAAGGTATCATGGTCAAAGTTTTATACTCTGCAGACATTAACAGTACCGGAGAACACACATGTTCAGGTGTAGGTGTAGTCTGTTTGTCAATCTGTTCCTATCATCTTCCAACAGCTTTTTTATTGGACTGTGTGTGTGTGTGTGTGTGTGTGTGTGCCAGTGCCAAGATAGATACTGTAGAAAGACAGTTTCCACCTGTCGGCTCAGTATCTGTAGTATGGACTCCGTGATCGAGACCGTGACCTCCTGCAAAAATGAAAAGAAAGGAGCTGATGCTGCAAGAAGGACCTCAGTATAAAAGCCAGCAACATAAAAAGTCCATGCAAATGTCTATATAATTTACAGGATTGCTCATATACATACGCACAGAGGAGTAAAGGATTGTGTGTTTGGGAACACTTTACATCACCCTACGTTGTATTTATTAGGCGTACACAAATATTTAATTCATGTAAATAACATTGATGTAGTTGTAAGCAGCTTTAAGGAAAATGGAAACAAAGTATTACCATGTGTTTAGTTAACTAATCATAATTTGACAATAAATGCTTATTTTTCTTCACACTATTTATGTAAACACACCTTTAAGATAATCAAAAACAACAGTGACTAACTAAATATCTGCGACTGGTTGTTAAGTTGTCTAGTGTTACTCTGAATTATAAAATGTCAGTTTGGGAGTGATAGCAATTTCCTATCCTGTATTTTAAATTTTGGAGTTAGGGTGACACTTTTGTTTATACAATCACCAAGCACTTTATTAGTAACACCTGTACCTGTACCACTCATAAAATCATGCAGGTACAGATCAGGAGTTTCAGTTAAAGTTCACATCAAACATCAGAATGGGGAAAGAATGTGACCGAGTGATTCTGGCTGTTGGTGACGGGCTGGTTTGACTATTTTATTGGTTTACTGAAAACGGTGTGAAAAACACAACAACATCCAGAGAGCAGCAGTTCTGCCAATAGAAGCGTCTTCTTAATGAGAGAAGTCAGAGGAGAATGGACAGACTGGTTGGAGCTGACAGAAAGTCTACGGTAACTCACATAACCACTCTTTACAACCGCGGTGAGCAGAAAAACATCTCAGGATGAACAACAGGTCAAACCTTGAGGTGGATGAGCTACAACAGCAGAAGACCACATCAGGTTCCACTCCTGTGAGCCAAGAACAGAAACCTGAGGCTGCAGTGGGCACAGACTCACCAAAACCGGGTGATTAAGGCTGGAAAAAAGTAGCCTAGTTCGATGAATCTGGATTTCTGCTAAGGCATGTCAATGGTAGGTTCAGAATTTGGCACCAACAGCATGAACAGCAATGTGCTGCTGGTGGTGTAATGGTGTGGTGAATGTTTTCTTGCCCCTTCATACCAACCAATCATAGTTTGAATGCCACAGCCAATTTGAGTATTGTTGCTGACCATGTGCTTCCCTTTATGGCCACAGTTTACCATCTTCTACTTGCTGCTTCCAGCACGACGATGCACCATGTCGCACATCAAAAGTCGTCTCAAACTGGTTTCAAGATCATGACAATTAGTTCAGTCAACTTCAGTGATCTCCCCAGGTCCCAGATCTGACTCCAACAGAACTACTTTGGGACGTGGTAGAACAGGAGAACATGTTGCTACAAAGAGCTGAGGCTGTTTTTAGAGCAAAGGGAGGCCCTGTCCAGTATCAGTATGGTGTTTCTAATAAAGTGCTTGATGAGAGTACTTGAATGAGAGATCATGCCTTTAATTAAACTTCATTATAACTGGAGAGAAGCAAACAGATAAACGGCTGAAACTGGCAATTACTAGGAAGAATGCAAATACACCGCGCAGCATTTGCTTCGAGTGGTTCCACAAGTTTTCAACTATGTTCACAATTTCACACATTGACCATAGGCGGTCCAGCTATATACAAGGTTTTGACCTAGTCTTGTTTACTTAACACTACAGACTTGTTTACTTAACACTAGAGCCCAACAGATAAATCTTCTCTATCAATATATGGTATTGGTGTAGACTAGTGAGATATTGTAATACAGAAAAGGCAAACACTTACTGGTAGTAATTTAGAAGATTAAAAGCAGTAGTATGTTTGGAGTATTTTGTTTTACTTTAAATTTGAATTTGAACCTGAATTATTTTTTATTTTTGTTCTAACTTGATTCCCTCACTCAGGTCGTAGCCCATGATGTCTTTCTCAAAATTCAAGACTCAAGACTTGAGACTAACTCTGGATTTGAGTGAAGAAAAAGCAAAGTAGCTCAAGTATTGTAAATAAATTAAATGCAATGAGCCTTTCAGATTGTGTTTGTACATTAATGTGAAAAGAAAAAATAAACATAATTCATTCTACTTCATCAGAGCTGTGCAGATTCTTGTGGCTTCTGACATACCTTCTGTATGAGTTGTGTTCTCGGCCTGAGGGACAGAGGACACAGAGCCACAATCAAAACAACGGCATGCCAGAATATCTTAAAGCCTATAAAGCTGTCAGAGGAGAAACTGACGCCAGCACATCAAACAAAGGCTGGGCTGATTAAATATTTTGGTTACTTCTGTTTTAGTATGCAACACTGTACACAAAATAAACACTGCATGTTCATCAAACCAAATTAATATACTATTAGATCCATATGGCTGTTGACGATGAGAAACCCGAACTCTTACCATATTTGGAGGGAGAAGGCGAGTGGCTCTGTCGCCCGTACTGTCTTTCCCATTCATCCCTCTCTTTCTCACGGCGCTCACGCTCCCTAAACACAGAGCCGCTGGGTCAGACAATTGCAACACACACACACATGCACGCACGCGCACACACACACACTTACTTCATGCGTATCTTGCGTGCCATGGCTCGTAATTCTCCCTCTCGCTCCTGTTAAATAAACACACAGTAATGAGGGGAAATAATAATAGGATAATAGTGTCTCTGTTTTTGCATATTTCTGAAGTACACACACACACAATCACACACCTGTCGTTTGTGTTCCTGCTGCTGGATCTTCACCTGAGCAGCTTTTTTATCCGCCTTGGCTGCAGCATGGGAAAAACCACAGGAAATTGAGGGGTGGGAAATAAACAAGTCATCTAGTTTTTCACGTCTTTAATTTGCATTTGACAATGTGCACAACGACAGTTCATGATCCAGAGGTGTGTGTTGTACTGTTTCGTTACTTGTGCAGAAACCACAAACACTCTGCTCGGTTGTACTCACACTGTTTGTTGAGCGCCTTCTGCATTCGCAGCTTCAGCCGTTCCTGTGGGGTCATCTTGGGCTGTAGGTGACACAATTGTGTTAGCACATCCTTTCACAGCCTGACAAAAGTGTGTATGTGAGAGTGTGTGTGTGTGTGTGTGTGTGTGTGTGTGTGTGTGTGTGTGTGTGTGTGTGTGAGAAAAGGTATGATCAAAGGTACCGTGCTGTCATACAATTTCGATACTATCACCTTTATGTACAGTTGCTGGTGGAGATAAAAAGGCCAAAGATAAATTAATTACATGTGATGTTTGTGAAGTCAACAGGCTGACTGGCTAAACCAGTTGCGTGTGTGGACAGAGAAACTGCTGCTGTAGACTTGCAGCTGCTGTAGGATAGTTTAGCAGCAGGATTGGATCCAGTCACATGAACCTTTACACAATATATTTATCTGTATGAACACTGTGAGGTAGATAAAGGGGAGAAGGATGGCTGAAGAGGGGGTCGGAAAGTGTAAGAACAACAACTTCAGGTCCGGTGAGTTCAACAGAGTTCACAAAGAGCCAGTGCCACTTTCTCTGACACACCCGTCACTGGGCCGTTTAAACCTGGCCAGGCAAGAAAAACTGCAGGTCACAGCATTGCAGGCAAGTTTAACAGAGAAGCAGATTATAACCTCAGATGTATTTGTCTGTTTGACTGTTGGAACGTATCCAATTTTTTTCCCCAGGAGAAGAGAAGCTGGTTCA